CTACTGTAATTACGAGATTTCTAATACCGTTTACTAATGTTCCCTATGACGTATAAAACGTGATCCATATTCATTGCGGAAAATTGTATGAGTCCTATTCGTAATAGCATAGAGGAATACGTGATATTTATTAAATAAAAAAGGCGCAGCCTGTAGTTTGGACGAGTCGAGTTAAACAGTATTTGGAAGCTACCGGTTCTCGGAGTAGAAAGTCTGACGACGTAATTCACTACAAGGCGAGAGTAAGAAGGAATAGCTTTATGCATGATTTCTTCGAAATATGTTCGGATTCATAAGTGCGTCGAAAATCCATGGAAGTCAACCAATACTACCTAGGTATCATTTTTTTAGTCAGTGAGGTCTTGGCGGGCAGCCGGAAAGACGCAGATTACGACCCGAGCCGACGGAGAAGGCAGTAACCAGTGGTCCTCACTGAACACGCCAGTCTATGGGGCAGCTGAGAAAATCCTTGCATACATCCAGCGACGCCGCAGTGACTGGATCAGCGGAAGAACCCTGCTGTTGTCTGCTCAGACGACTCGAGCCAGGCCCCGCAACGATGACTGCTTCCGCCAACTTCAGAATATGATGGCAAAATCGGCCAGGGATGACGGGAGGCAATATTTGGCTGAAATAGCGACCTCCATGGAACAGGACTAGAACGTTGGTGACACTCGAAAACTCTACGAACTTATCCGCCAAGTTAGCGGTAGGCCCTCTACACTGAGTAACTCTGTTCGCGACGTGAATGGCGGCTTTTCTGCCGACCACTCGGCCAAAGTCGAGCACTGGCGTGAGCACTTCGAGCACCATCTCAACTTCGATACCCTACCCACCATGCCCTTGCTCTCCTCTTCAGCGGAATTTCTTCCCACTCCTACCTATGCAGTGCCATGCGACCCCCCCCCCCTCTGAAGGATAAGTCGCCGATGCCATACGAAAGCTACACAACAACAACAACGCACCCAGAGGGGACGGCATATCCGCTGAAATCTACAAATCTTGTGTTCACACTCTGGCGCCCTGACTCCATGAGGTGATAAAACGAGCGCGGAGAGATGAGATTGTTCCTGATGACTGGGACTTAGGAATCATTGTACCTATCCTCAAGAAGGAAGATATGACAAGATGTGAAAACTACCGCGGCATAAGCCTCATTGACGTTGCTGCGAAGATCTTCGCTATTGTTCTACTCAGGCGATTCCAGGCTCTGCGTGACTCAAGGACGAGGCCCAACCAAGCCGGATTTCGTGCTGGACACGGATGCGCCGACCAGATATTCACCCTGAGGCGCATTCTCGAATAATCGACTGCTGTTTGCTTCATTGACATTGCCGTCCATCGTGAGTCCCTGCGGCGGATAATGGCGCTAGATGGTGTACCGGCAAAAATCATCGCCATGATCAAGGCCTACTTTCGCTCCACTACTGCGAGAGTCCTGGTCCGCAACAGTCTTACCCAACCGTTCGGTATTCGGTCTGGCGTTCGGGAGGGTTGTATCCTGTCGCCCATTCTGTTCAAATACGCTATTGACTGGATTCTCGGGAGGGCTCTACACGAAGGTGACGGTGTTGAATTGGCACCCGGACACCGACTGACTGATCTCGACTATGCCGATGATATTACCCTACTTGCTTCAAGTTTTGGTAATCTGCAGTCTGTGGTGTCACGGGTGAACGAGGTCGCTAAATCGGTCGGTTTATCTATAAACGCCGGGAAGACTAAAGCGTTTTCAAGCTGCATCCCTGACCTAGAGAAGGTACCTCGCACGATTGATGGCTGTCAACTTGAAAAAGTAGACTGTTTTAGATACCACGGGGAGAGACTGCTGCTTAATGGACAGAGTAAGGACGACATTGTCTCCCGAATTGATGCTGCCCGCTGGGTTTTCTCACGCCTTCGAAAATGTCTGTGGATAAGACGCGACCTCTCCATCGCCATTAAGATTCACGTGTACCGTGCATCTGTCCGGTCTGTCCTTCTCTACAGTTGTGAATGCTGGGCTTTGCGCGTGGAGCACGGGCGTAAACTGGAGGTATTTGATCACCACTGCTTGAGGACTATCCTTCGAGTGAAGTTCACCGACTTCCTCTCAAATGAGACAGTCCGCGCTCGCTGCGACAAGATCGCAAGGATAACTAATTCAAGCCATCCAAGAAAGACGACTGAGGTGGTTTGGGCATGCTTTTCGTCGTCCACCTCAGGGGCTCAGTGTTGCTGCCCTCGATCCAGCACCGTTGCCGCATTGGAGGCGTCGAAGAGGGGGTCAGTTCAAAACCTGGCTTGACACAGTTCGTCAAGACATGGAGGTGGTTCTTGGACCTTCGATATTCGGTCTCCGTCGGTGGCAAAGAGAGTGGGTTGAGCTGTCCAGATCTGCTGTCGCGGATCGTC